TTTCAGGGGGGGGGATGACCGGTTTCTTTCCTTAGTTGTCCAATCTTTGTCTTGGTTTCTCTGTTGCACAAGAAAAATGGAATGTAATTAAAAGGACTTGGAGCACATATGACACTAACATGATCTTATGCATCTTTTTTGCTTGACCTCCTTTCTTTGTTTTGATGTAATCTAATTTACATCATCCCCGGATCCACTGCATATTGTAAATGCCCCCAGGCAAGGGCTGGGTTTCTTTTTCTCTCCATTGCTGTGCCTACTTCTGATCTATCCACCAAGGTGAAAAGCTGTACAGTGTTTTGTGTTGTTTGTAACTGTTCTTTGGTACCTCCTTGCTTTTGGTTACATTGGCTTTAATGTTTCCTCCTCTCTGCTTGGGTTACTGTAGTGTGGAGCATACTGCCAGTCTCGATCCTGCAGTTTGAGAACTTGAGCAAGCACTTAGGTTGACCTAACTGATGACAGTCATAGAAGAGGGAACATGGTTGGCTTTCAGGGCATCTTATTTTGTTTTAGTTGTATTTAGGGGAAGAAAAAGAAAGAAAGAAAAAAAAAAAAAAGAATATTGACGATGGAACGCAAAATAATGAGAAACCCCACAGATACTCAGGTGTGTTTTTACTTTTGATCAAGTCCTAAAAACTAATCCAACAACATATGATTCGTCTTCTCTTTACAGACTTACAATCAAAGCCAGTGTAACAAAAGGAGCATCCACAAAGCTATTTCAGGAAACAAAACGCTTCGTTTCTACCAGCACAGCCCACGTATGATTCCAGAAGGCATAAATCCAAAGCTGCATAAAATGTTTATTACTGCTGAAAAATCTGAACCAAGCAATTCAAGAATGCTTTCCAAAGAGAGAAGATCTGGTTCCCTCCAGCGCAAATCTGCTCTCTTCTCCTGTGTCAGCGGTAAGAGGATTATGGTGTTTCTCTAAGCACTGCCTAAGCTGCTATCTCATGTTGTTAGATTACAGCATATCAAAACTGGGTGCTCACACGAGTTTTGGGTCTCTAGCAAAGGTGTCATTTCTGTAAGCTGGAGCCTTTCCTCAGGGATACTGTGCTGACTGCTGCTTGGATTCCTCAGCCTTGAACATCCCCAAATCACTGGTCTGTCCTTAAATATCCGTGCTTCAGATCAGACATTTCTTTCATCTTTCTCCTTAGAGCTTCTCATGGAGTCAGTGGCTGAAGGTCAGAAACTCCAGCCACAAACAGAAGAGGCAAATGTTAATCATATACCTATGTCAGGTGGCATAATTGTCATGAAATGTTCAGTGATAGTCCGGTACCAAATCTGGTTTTGAGCTTTAACAGTTAGGTTTAATGGGGTTTTTAATACAAGAAGACTATGTCTTACAGCTTTGTAAATGGCAATAAAACAGGAATGCTTGAAAGCTAAAGGATTTTGAGGGGAGGAAAAGGAGGAATCAAGGGTAGGATATTCATGAATTGCACACACCCTTGGAGGAAAATTAATCTAAGGAGAGAAGTGGCTTGTTAGCTGATGCAGTTACACGGCACTGAAATTCTCAGTAAGTTGGACAAAATTATAAGATAGGAAGAAAGAGCTAAGCTTTGTAAACACTTGGAAATTGTCAGCCTTGATCTCTTTGGTTAGGTGCTTTCTGTAAAGACCAGTAGCGACTTCTTGAAAGCAGAAACTCCTAAAAGCCTTGGGAAACTTTTGTGTTTCAGTATACGAGTAGTTTGACTTTAGGTTTTTAAATGCTTCTGATCACAAAAATTCTTATTATTAAAACCTACACCTGACCTCTTCCCAGACACCATCCAGGGCAAACCGAAGGCTGAACATAGCAAGGGGAAGCAAGCTACAAAATGGGGCAGAAAAAAAAATACCATATTTTCCTTTGGTCTCCAAAACATCCCCTGTGTTGCACGGTAGAAATGTAACAGAGAAGACTGAGGATTGACAACTCCATGTGTGAGGATGTGACAAATCCACCCTCAGCCCAGGCTCCTTACATGCTGGGATGCTGCTCCCCAGGGCGAGGGTTCCTGTTCCTGTTCCGCCCCGGAGCCTTCGCTAAGGGACAGCTCTGGGGTCTGTGCACAGCCTGGGGGCAGCCCGAGAGGAGCACCGGGGGTGGGAGAAACAGACACAACTTGCACGAAAAGAAGCAGAGCAAAACATGGAATTAAAGTAATCATTTTAGAACGTTCCTAAGTCTGTCCTAGAAAACAGAAGTGAGAGACAGGGAGTGCATGGAGAAGATAATATGCTGAACACATTTCCTGCTGAGGGACCAGCGCTTCAAAGGTTGTAATTACCAGGCTCCTTTTGTGTGAAACAGGTTAGCAGCTGTCACAAAGCAGCACAGTGTGCCTGGAGGCCTGTTGGTCGCCAAAGTCGAACACAATTGACTGCCCACCTTGCATACAAGTGTTGCAGGAGTGCACATTATTGAGCGCTAGCTTTGTGCTCAAGTCCCCCTCCGTTACTCTGTGAAGCAAGTGGCTGTTTCTGATTTTAATGATACTCAAGATAAACCTCAAAAAGAAGAGAAAGGAAGGTCTTTATTTTTTGTGTTTTCTCCTCTCATGTCAGTGCCCCCTTTCGCATTAGGAAACTGCAGAAACCAGCAGTGATGAATAAGCTGTGTATGTTCTCATTTATGCTCTCAACTCTTCATTTGTTCTTTGAGGTTCCGTTGATCTTCAGGTTTGTCCTCAGAAAGATACACGTGCACGGAATCTAAAGTATCATGGGCAGAAGAATCAGTCATTCCAAGCATTCTTCTTTTCTAGTCAAATATTTCCTGTTCTTCTTAGTTTGATTCATTTTCTATTAGTTTTACACTATCTTTCTGCTTCAAAACTTCTTTCATAGATTTTATCTGTTTGTCAGTACCAGGACACATTATTCTTCCCTTGCCCCATCACTAACCAAGTGTGTTCTTCAGTTGTATCAGCTTTTCTTCAGAATTACAGCAACAAGAGCAAAAATCCCATTACTTGGCAGGGCTCTTATCTCAAATTAAAAGAAACAATATTCTTTTCTCTCTCTGTTTTGTTTTTTTTTGGGGTTTTGTTTGGTTGGTTTTTAAAATAGTTTGCTAAAATTGAGTAGCGTATTAGTAAGTACAGTAAAATTAAAAAAAGCATTTAAGAAAGAATAGTTTTGCACTTAAAATGACTTGGATTCATTGGAGAAAAAAAATCTCCTAACAAATCTCTGGAGACGGCTCGTGTATTTATGCTCATCTTTTTTTACTTTATAAAATGAGAATAACTGTCCCACAAGATAACTGAAAAGGTGAAGGTGCTGAAAGATCTGGATAATCATCTCTAATGTTATTTTTTGCAAGTTGTCTGCCAGTCTCCCCGCTCTGTGAGAGGTATGAAACTGCAAAAAGCAGCTAAGGTGCAGTGGAAGGTGCTCTTCCCATACCCCCCTGCTCCTGGTAGCTGAATGTTGCTTTGTTATCAATAATTTATTTTTCTTTTTGCATTGCATTAGTCTCAATGACATCTCACTTTGTTAATTCTTCTTCTCCTGGTTCTTCACAATTACTCTATTCTCCCCCTTTCAGATTGCATCAATTTTGAGTTGCCTATAGCTTTGGTCTTTGTTTGATTTTACGATTTCAGATGATTTCTTTAATTGCTGTTTTTATCTTAACGGTGCAAATTTTATTACTGTCTTTTTCTAAAATATACCAATGCCTTCTTTAGTCTTTAGACCTCTGTGGTTCTGCTGTGCCTTTCCATTTGCCTTTTAATGTAGCTGTGGCAAGGCCTTGGGATGCCTGATAAATTTTCTGAGTTCATCTCCTATTTGCCTTTCTTGGGTTACACCTTTCATTGTTTTCATGATGACAACTACACAAAACTTGCCTAGTAAGGTGGAGGGTTTTTTTAAACTTGTTTCAGCTACACCTGTTTTGAATGATTTCTTTCAGCCCGTGATGTGGCTTCTCCAGAACACCACTCGCATGTGCTCCTGTAGTCACCCTGCCCCAGCCCGCCCGCATGGGCTGTGTGCGGGAGCACCAGTATCCTCTGTCCTGGCCGAAAGTGACCTCAGCGGCCACGCTGTGCTCGTTGCTTTACCTGTCCTCCTTCCCTGCCCATTCCATCTCCCACAGCCACACACTCCTAGTGAAGGAAGCATTATTCTGTGTCGGTAGTGCGTAATTGCTTAGGTAGACCAGCAGAACTTTCGGACAGTTGACATTTCTTTTGGACCAGCAGCTGTCTTTGTGGTGAGAAGAGGGACAGCTTATGACAAGGGACTGGAGGTGTCACGGCTGGTTATACTGTCCTGGTCAGTGTGGTGCTGCCAGTTCCTTCTTCCTTGCCCTCAAACAGAGGTTTATTTCCTCTGAGAACTGACAAATTCCCTGCTGGCTGCAGGCTGAATCCACCAAATCCCTTGGTTCTATAACTGTAAAAGTGTTACTGAAAGAAAAGCTCAAGTTCTCTTTTCTGATTCAGAGATAAACTTTGGGGCTTTTGTCATTTCACCACTTAACCTCTCTTCCATGGAAAGCCATGACAACACAAAGCATGGAATTGTTTTTATTTAAACCAGACAAACATTTGTGACAGCGCTTAGATACTTCTTTGCATTCACAGTATTTATGGTCCCTGACAGAGAAATAGACATTAGTGTGGCTAAACAATTTCTTGATTAAAATCTCCTTGCCGATCTTAATTTCAAACTGCAGACCTTCCCCCCCTCCAGGCTATTTATTGCTCTCCTCCCTGTTCAAGGGAAAGGAAAATATTTTGTTTCTGGAGAAAAATGTGGAAAGTAACATTAATGATTTCAGTGATGTGTTTGTCTTTGGTAGTATGTTGCATTTGTAACTCATGAAATGTTCTTGAAGATAATTACCCTTGAAATGAGCGTGTGCTACTTCTCCTGAAGGGGAGACGCTGTTGCTCATTAATTCAGCGGGACATGGTCGTTCTCAGCTCTGTACCCAAACAGCCTCATCAGTCTCGATTAGGATGGGGATTTACTTCTGTAAGAGCTCAAGAAGAGCTCCTGGTACTCTGCAATTACGCAGTAGTACACAGCTTTCTGCAAAACAATGTAAAAACCTAGAGCTTATTTGTATGATACTAATGAGATGTGCGTGTCTCATGAGGTTTGATATTCCTTAAGTGGGTCTGTCCTTACCTTTGGTCTGATACTACCCATGGTCTAAGCGATAAATTGAACTATACTGGCACATACGTTATTATTCATTATATATTCTGCCAAGCTAGTCAATGTATTTTGGAAATGTCTTTGGCTCTTTTTCATAATTTATTTCTAGTTTTGAGAACTCTTTTACCCACACGGTGTGTTTTAGTAATCTCCAAATTGTGGGTTTATGTAAAAATGAAGCATTTCAGTTTTCAGTATTTATAGTATTCTATTCAGCTGTAATAACTCCTGATTATACTGTAGTTCTTTCCCTGCTCCTGAGGAATTTCCATAGTACTTCTGTTTTGTTTCTCTCCTCTCATTCATCTGCATGTCCTTGATAGAGGAGAT